TGCTGAATTAGTCATTCTTGTTTTATCCCTTCTGTTTTATAAAAGAGGGAGGGAGTATTATTTCCTTACTACATAAAGGTAGGTTGAAGAGCAGAAACCTAATAAGTGTCGTTTTCTTGACTTGCATCCCGGGAGAGTCATCTGGTCAATCACTCTGTATCTGGTGGAAGTGAAGTTATAATTGTGCTCCTTTCCCATTTCCTCATTAGGTGCAGGTTGAAGGTCTCTCAGGAAATATCAAGTTTGACCAGAATGGAAAAAGAATAAATTATACAATTAACATCATGGAGCTCAAAACGAATGGGCCACGCAAGGTAAATCATTAGTGAATTGAAGGCATTCTCTCTGTGTGAGGAGGTGAGTTAGTGAACCCATCACCGCATCTTCCAGAATCCTGGAGACATATATTCACATAGCTGGATTCACCAACTTCCAGAAACATATATTTTAAAATATGTATTCTAAATAAACTCTATTTATTTCTGGTAAGTAACCCTGAAATGTAATTTTAAGATATAATAAATAAAACTGTTATACTTTTTTTTAGACAGAGGTAGAAAAAGAGTTTAATGAGAAGAAAAAGAACTGTTGCTGAAAGATTATGGTTTGGGAGACCAAACATAGCTGGTGCAAGTGCGAATGTAACTGTTCAAGTCAACATTTTTTTTTCTTCTGTTATGGCTGAAATGCCATTGTCTGGATTTTATTTATGTTTCTATATGACCACTCCCACACAAATTACCCTTGGAGAGTATGAAAAGTGAACACGAAGAGACAAGCCGTTTCTAAGAATTGTTTTTGTTTGTTTATTTTTATAGTCTCTTTCTATTGCTATTAGATTCACGTGCATAAAAGGTACATCTCTGTTTAGAACAAGCCTAGTTAGTGTAGGTGTAATTTCAGATTCAAACATGGGTTGCAAAATAACTCAGTGCTTTGCCAGTAGGAAGGTCATATGTCCAGGTGCCCACCTTCTGTACCCTTTTGCAGATCGGGTACTGGAGCGAAGTCGACAAAATGGTTGTTACTCTCACCGAACTCCCTTCTGGAAACGATACTTCTGGGCTTGAGAATAAGACTGTGGTCGTCACTACAATTTTGGTAATTAGCTACATATGCCTCTGTTTTACGTTATTTTTCTTAAGAAAAATACCTGTCAACTAGAATCGCTGCTTATATTTAGGAGAATAACTGATACAGTGATGCTTTTGAATGTTTTAGTCATTCGCTGCATGCTTATTCTGTCAGAAGGACTCACAATCACGAGCTACGGCACTCAGAATACGTCTTATCCTCTTCAGGACTGAACTTTGGCTCCACAGATAATTGGTAACCTGGTGCTCACACGGGTGAACACCTAGGGCAAGCCTGGAAGAGCCTTCCTTGTATTCCTCCCATGTTTTACCTTTCCACTCCCACACGATTCTGGGTCCATTCTGTCCTTAGATTTGTTCCATGGTTTAATAATGTTGTCAACTTCTCTATATTCGTATGGAAAGGTGAACTCCTGAAAGACAAGGGTGATCTCCCTTCTTTTTAACTCCGAGTCTCAACACAGTAGTTGGCACATAGCTAGTGCTAAGTGGATGTATATTGGCTGGATGAGACAAAATTGAACTGGATCCTGAACGTCGAGGCTTTGGATAGATGGATGGCAGATGTCGATTATGACAAGAAGCTGTTGGGGAAATGAAATGGAGGAAACACGTGATTTTGCAGCAAAACAGTCTGATTTCATTTTACTAAGTTGTGATATAGTGAATTTGTGAGATTCATTACGGTAACAATATTGAGAAGAAAACATAGGTTAATAGGGGATTTGGATAAGAACATTGGTTGGCACTTGGAAAAGTCTTAATAAATGTAAGCTAGACGTTTGAGGATTTTTGCCTGAATCATGCCACTGAGAGGAGGTATCTCACTGAACCCCAAATATCCTCAGTGCCACTTTCCAGTGGAGAAAATTTGGGGGCTGGTGTTGAGTCATGTTTTCATGCTTCCTTTATGTGGTGTCCACAGTGGGGATGCTACTCCCTAGCTATCCGTGTAGCATAATTCTAGGATATTCTATCTCAAAGAGGAAGTGAGCTCTCAAGTCTGAGAGGGTAGATTCCATACATCACTATGGCAACGACTCTTTGAGTCTGGGCATCACTGGTCATGGACCTGATTTCCACAAGAACCTTATCCTCGAACTCGTAGTGGCACAGGGTTTTGGGTGAATGCTGGTTCTTTGGAGTCAGGGTAGCCCTAACTTAGAATAAGAGAGTGGTGGATCCAGAGTTCACTAAAACAGATATTAAACCACATTATTCCTCTTTAAATACTAGGATTACAAACACTACAAGGGGACATGCTAACAGTTTGTGCTTTTGAGTCTCTTGTTTACTTTGGTATGGCCAGGTGCCAGCCATGTGCATGAAATATAATGAAAGATAGATGAGGACATTTGATCAGAAGCATTATGCTTAATTTTTTCCCAGTCATATTTTCCACTATCTGTATTCTACAACGTCTCTGGCTTACAGGTAATAATTAAACCAGAAGATTTGAGTGGATGCGAGTAGATCAGTAACACAGTGGTTTTGATCAACTAGAGCACTTTCTTTCCATATAGGAATCTCCATATGTTATGATGAAGAAAAATCATGAAATGCTTGAAGGCAATGAGCGCTACGAGGGCTACTGTGTTGACTTGGCTGCAGAAATAGCCAAGCACTGTGGGTTCAAGTACAAGTTGACCATTGTTGGGGATGGCAAGTATGGGGCCAGGGATGCAGACACGAAAATTTGGAATGGGATGGTTGGAGAACTTGTATATGGGGTAAGTACTGCACTTCTCAAAGGTAAAGTCATTACGTTTGAACTCTTGTTGAGAGAATACTTGCCTTCCAAGCCAAGTACCAATGTCTGAGATTGTGGGTTTCCCACATTGCTCTAGGAATGCTGTCTTATTTCCTTGTGCACATTTGAAGATGAAGCATGAAGTCAGAAGCAAATATGCAGATGGAGACAGGCATTTCACCTGTCTTGAAGCCTACGGGCCATATGCATTGTTCAGAGATTGCCAAGGCATAGAGGCAGATGTAGTTATCGTAATCGAGCCGGAAGTGTGTACTCTGTATTTATTAACAGGAGGGATATTTGGGGAACAAATTGCTTTTCTTCTGTTAAGTATTTACTGGGATTCCACCAGGGAAATGGTTATTCCCATTTTCCTGATTTCCTTCCCTTCCCTTTGATCAGATAACGTAACCACGATTCCCCTCTGACCGTGACTCCTGGTTCTATTATTTTCCTTTGTTTCCCTTACAGAAAGCTGATATTGCAATTGCTCCACTAACCATCACCCTTGTGAGAGAGGAGGTGATCGATTTCTCAAAGCCCTTTATGAGCCTCGGGATATCAATCATGATCAAGAAGCCTCAGAAGTCCAAACCAGGAGTGTTTTCATTTCTTGATCCTTTAGCCTATGAGATCTGGATGTGCATTGTTTTTGCCTACATAGGGGTCAGTGTAGTTTTATTCCTGGTCAGCAGATTTAGCCCCTACGAGTGGCACACTGAGGAGTTTGAAGATGGAAGAGAAACACAAAGTAGTGAATCAACTAATGAATTTGGGATTTTTAATAGTCTCTGGTTTTCCTTGGGTGCCTTTATGCAGCAAGGATGCGATATTTCGCCAAGGTTGGTTACTCACCTGCTTCAACTTTGTGCATTTTAGGTCTCGAGTGGACATTCATGGTGTTTATGAATTCACTGTAAAGAAGTTAGCAGCCGCCGACTACCTGTCCAAGCAGTGTAAGACTCGTAAGGACAGACTCTTACCGTCGGCGTAAGCCTGTGAAATATTTGAGCAATGTTCTTTGAACGTTGGTCCTATATTTCCCTGGTGAGATTATACACACCATGGAGAGGCTATAAAATGCATAAGGTTCCTATCATTCCATGCCTTCTTGGAGGGGTACCGTGTTTTTGCTGCATATTCTCATTTTACAGTCATCTGTGTGTTGATCCACAGACCTGTATATGGGAAAATGGGCAGCATTACTTACTAACTACAAAAGCGACAAAACTTCATTTGCACACATCTCATCTCTCTCTGCTTCTTCTTTCCCGCCATTATCAGCTCATGGAAATGACATAAGAGAGATATTTATAAAATTTGGTTTTTTTTAAAAGGTTAGGTTGCCGGGTTAAAAAGAATGTATTATACTATATTTTCCAAGTATCTAGAAATATATAGGTGGGTAATAATGATGGCTGATTGTTACAAACGCTTGTGCCATATTGAATAGCAATACACATACAGGGTGGAATAAGTTCATACATCCCTATTCTCATTATGATATTTTAATTCCTGCCCTAGAATGCCTAAATATAATGAATGTATCACAAAACACACATTGCCTTTATTCATGTCGCATACATGATTAAGAATGATAGCCACGTCTGGTTCTCCAGAGGAATAAATCATACTTTTCCTAATGAGATTGCTTTCACATTTAAAGCCTATATGATTATCGATCTACCGGCACATTTTAATTTGGGCTCAATTACCCTCCTTTGATTCTATGGGCATCTTAATAACTAACAGAGGCAATGGCTTCTTAAATACTATTTCATTATTGTTAGTTTTTGAGCACTTTGGGGATAAGAAGTGATTAATTTCAGAAACCTATATGTGAAGCTCAAAATTTTGTATCTTCCGCGATCTTTTCTGTATACTCCACCCATCAAGATAAAGGGAATATATCATGTGTGCAGAAATTATCGATGACTTACTTCTCAGACAGCAGGGCACATTCTTATGGATTTTATGGATCTGAACAATCTTAATTCCATCAAATTCCCTGTGGCTTCTCTATGGAACGGCACTAAATTAGAACTATATCATTGGTGCTTGCATTGCATATAGAGAGAGATATATAATTTTAATGTATAGCATATAATAATAAGTATAACATACTATATATATATATATATATATATATATAATTATGACCTCTGACAAAACATATAAGATTCAGAGTTTCATCTCTATAGTTGATCTGATTGAACTTAAAGACATAAAGAGAAGTTTCTAATGATGAAGGAGGAAAATGCTAACCAGATTGGAATCTCAGAGAACATTGTGGCTCATAAATAATAATGAAGTGATTCATCTTTGGTAAGAAGGCTCTTGAAGTATGATGTTACCATAGTCCTGAGATATCAGGCAGTTATCCTAGGGTTCCACAAACTATGCTCTGCCTTTTGAATAAGCAGGAGAAGCATGTGAAGGTTCATTAGGACACAGGACATATTGACCTGGGTTCCCATCGATGGACCCAGGTTTGTTTGCCCCACTCCTCATGCACCAGGGCTCTGAAGGTAATTGTTTTGGCCTCCAGTGGTTGTCTAGGAGCAGAAAACATATTGACACATAGGATCTGGGGCACAAGGGTCATTTAACAATCTGTGTTTTCCCAGGGTCCACCATGACATAGTGACATTCTAATTTTCAACAAGCCTGCTTCCTAAAATATTATCTTTTTCCTTCATTTATGATTTCATTCATGAGTCATGACTCACTAAACTTTCACATGTAATCATTTTTATTTCCTGGTAAGATGTATCAATTTTAGATAGCATATTTTTCCTTGTTATCATTTTTTTGGCCACAGAATATATATGAATAGATATATACATATATATATACATATATATATATATATATGTATATATATATATATATATAAGCAAAATTCACTTTATTAAAATTTTCAAGCATATGTATCTTTCACTTTATGGTATATGTGCATTTACCAATTGAACTTACTACCTAATACTGGCAAATTCAAGGATTTTTTTAAAATGAACCAGACTATCATTTTTTAGAATACAATGATGGTAACTCTAGATTAGGAAAGAATAGAGCAGCTTAGTACCTAAAAAAATTTAGTAATAATGTATGAAATCCACAGATCACTTTAGAGCTGCCCTTTATATATTTTAAACGATATTTATCAACTTTTTCCAAGTAAAATATGATATGGAACTCTATTATTTATATGAGTAGAACACATTTAAATTTTAATATAGAATGGTTTATTGAAGTGAATTGGTCATTGCCTGAAATTAAGTTTAGAATATGTTAACTATAGTTTTGTGGAGACTAGGACCACAGAATTATGAGAGCAAAATGTTGTAAAGTTGACTCTTATTCTCCAGTTTTCTTCTTCTTTTTCTTTTTTTTCCCCCCAATATCCTTAAAGGATTAAAATGATTTAAAAATTTCATTCTTAAAATAATTATTTAATAGAAATTTAAGAGAAACGGCAGAATATGTGCATTTATTTGCTCCGTTAGTGCAGATACTGAGAGATGAAAGTTTTATTTTTAATTAGAAAAACATTTTTGTCTGTCACTGTGAAGCATAATATTGAATTTGCTCCACTGCATAAAATTTCTCAGGAACTCATTCAGAATCATAATCGATCCTTTGAAAACACTTACAAGTAAATAATAAATTGCTCAAGAATTTTCCGTTTTGAGTGATGCACAAGTCGAATAAATTTTGGGGGTTATCTCACACACTCTAAATAAACTGGCATATTTAATTAAATTTACAACTAGAACAGAATGACTTATAAAAATGATTCTCAAATATATTACAAATAAACCTGAAATGTATAGTATCAAAAGCAATTACCATGCAATCAGTTTTGTTTTCAGGGCTGTGAGTAGTCAGATACTGAATCTACCCTCTTCAGTATAGGGTACATGTCATATAATTATACCTTCCTTTGTGATGGAATAAATAGTGAACATTTTGAGAGTGGCTGTGTCTACATAGGGTTTTTCCAAAATCAAAATGTATTTAATATCCTTTTCAGAATATCAGTGAGACTTGTTTAACTTTTTTCCATTCTACCATATTTGTTTCATTCTTTGCAACTCTTAGAGACTGGTAAAGGCTCTTAATTATATTATTATTATTTTTTCATTGCGTGTGTGCTCTCTCTCTTTTTCTCTTTTATTTTAGCTGCAGATGTTTTTATCTAAAAGATCTTTACTTTTAGCTTCACCCCTTTCCTTGACTGCTTGAGTAGTTTATTCTACAAATACGACCTAATAATTTGATGTAGTGTCTATGTTTCATCAAAAATATTTCTTGTTATTAATTGTCAGGAGGTTTAGTTTAGGTCATAAATTGGCACATTTTCATGATTTAAATTTTTAGAAGTGTTACCTCTTCAGTGTAGAAGGTTTAATTTTTAGGCGTAACAGAGTTATTAACAAAAAAGAAAAAGTTATTATATTGGTGTGTTAATACTACTCAAATACCATTATATGTAGAACCCCACCAAATCTTACCAAATAATACCCTATATATCTCTTTCTGTATCTACATGTCTACATTTATCTACCTAGGGTTTATCTACCAGTAAATTACTGGGAATCAATTAAGCTTTTGAAAAGTATTTTAAGTAAGAATTTATGGTCACAGAAATATTGTTATTATATTTCAGACTAGGAATCTATATCTTGGCAAACTTTTACATGTCTAATTTGTTCTCCTTGAGTTTTCTCTTTTTTCTTAAGCAGGAGGCACAAAGGAACAGGGTCATAGCTGTCCATGCCCTGAAGCGTCAGATTTTTATTCATTAAGAATAATATTTTGTGTCATACTTTGTTTGTAGTATCACTATTTTCCATTTTTATCTTGTACTGTATCTAAAACCTATGTTTCTGCACAAAAAAAATACCTAATGGAATTTTGGACCTTTTTTTGAGGGTTTTGGAACTTCATTGGCTGGATTAAAAGGCGGGTTTCTTCGGTGTTTAAAGCCACATCTGTGGTACATACTCTTTTGTTTTTGCTATTTGATTTTGTTTGTCAACGTTGTTCTGAGTTCTGCTGTTGATCTTAGATTCTATTGTTCGTTTACTTATGTCACGAGTGGTTAAAGTAGTATGAGCATTGGATAGATTATTTTCACGTTTCATGAAATTGATTGTTACGATATTTCATACCGTAAACTATTTGGCCATGATAACTATGAAAGAACCTCAGGAATCTGAAGTTCTGCCTCTGGCTGTGTCATCAAATCTAGCAAATCCGTACTCCTTGCCCAGAAGGTTTAATAATTTCAAGTATCATCAACTAGCAGATATACTGAAAAGTATAAAGTTAAATATTTCCCTATAAATCGATATTTGCATAATACTGCTAACTTGTTTTCTTACGAGGTCATTCATTTCGCTTTACAAATCCGTTTCGTACTTGTTATCAGATCCCTGTCTGGGCGCATTGTTGGAGGAGTTTGGTGGTTCTTTACCCTGATCATAATCTCCTCCTACACGGCTAACTTAGCTGCCTTCCTGACCGTAGAGAGGATGGTGTCTCCCATTGAAAGTGCGGAGGATCTTTCTAAGCAAACAGAAATTGCTTATGGAACATTAGACTCTGGCTCCACTAAGGAATTTTTCAGGGTAAGAGATTCTGCTTCCTGACTTCTGATTTTGTTCTTGCAATTAAACTTTGTGCCCCCTTGCCCCTCCTCCCATGGTCTACACAAAGGTGCTGTGTGCAAGTAACTTCCATCCCTGTCTCTATTTCTGTTTCTTTTTAATTTTTATTTTTTATTGGACTATAGCTGATGTACAATGTTGTGTTACTTTCAGTTGTACAGCAAAGTGATTCAGTTATACGTATACATAGAATTTATTCTTTTGCAAATTCTTTTCCCATTTAGCTTATCACAGAATATTGAGTAGCGTTCCCTGTGCTATACAGTAGGTCTTTGTTGGTTGTCTATTTTATGTATAGTAGAGAGTAGAGTGTATGGTAATCCCAACCTCCTAATTTATCCCACCCGCCCTTTCCCCTTTGGTAACCATAAGTTTGTTTTCTACGTCTGTTTTTAACCCTGACTCTACCCCGCTCCCTTCCCTACTGCTATACTTAGCACTATCTCTATCCTTTTGTTTGATTCCTGACTCCTTCGGAGAAAAACACTTTGTTGCAAAGAAATCTAGTTTCTTAAAAAAATTGATTGTCTTTTTGGAACGAAATTGAAGCAAAGTATAGTTAAATTTAGGTGATTATTTTTAAAAGAAAAGGATGTTGTATTTCGTTTTATGTTAAAGCATGACTTCCATCTATCTTACATAATTTACAGTTGAAAACTCACTTTCCAATCCATTATGTTAATTCTAAGTCAGGAAACAGATTGTGTTCATATGTGGAAATTCCAAACTTTCTGTTAAACCCTCCGAGCAAAGGCTAACAAAGGCCTTCAACTTCTCGTCTTTTAAAATGGGAATCATAATTACAACGTGTCTATTAAATGTATTTTAGTTTTCAAAGATCTGTGGCCTTATTATGGTCTCTGTTTATGGGCACCAGTCCAGAGGCTGATGTTGGTATAACTTTCTTTCATTATACTATTATCTCTCTATAAGAACTCATTCTATTAAAATGCTTAAATATAGCAGATAAACTTTGGTATTGACATTAAGCCAAATACGTGGCATATGATGACCTCTGATAATGCATCTTTGAGTGTACCTAAGTTTGAGTGAGATCCAGGCCAGTTTACTTCTGAATCAGGATTAGGACTTTCAACTTCCAGTTGAAATAGGGACTGTAATTTGAAGACTGTCTCCTTCCGCATTTGCCACTGGTCTCTTTTCCAAATAACATCAGTTGTGCTCCAGATACCACGGGAGGAAAAGTGGTGTTGTCAGACGGCTGACAACAGAAAATAACTTGGCTCTGTGTGGGGTGGGTAGGACCTTGACTCTCCCACTAGGTACCGCGACGTAAGCTGAGAGTGTGGTCCGTCTGTCAGCGGGTACTTTGACTTTGATGCTGCGTATGAATGTCGTAATGCAGATTTGTTACTAATGACAATTTACTGCTGCTTCTGAAAATAGTTGCAATACTCTTAATATAACACAGTGCTCTAGCCTGATCATAACAATGGACCTATTAAAATAAATTAGAATATCGCATGATTCTCAATTAGAAGTGCATTTTGAAACATTTTTAAATTGTTTGTGTCCCGATAGTGCTTGCTTTTATTTTACTGGTATATTTTATTGGTATTCCGCGCTCTTGAAGTAAATGAGCCCTATGAATGAGGCAGAGACTTGCTAGATCATATGGTTTACTTAGTGCTCCTTACATTGACAAAAATAACCTGGTTTCCAGACACTGTCTGTTGAGAGTTACTCTCATTAGCTTGTTTGGACAACAAGAGGACCAACGGTTCTCAGCAACTGCACTTTCAGGATCTCAGAGCTTTTCAGTGTACCTGAACTCTATCATAGAAACACGTGCCTTAATCAGCGGGATGCCAAGGTTTCATGATTAGAATATGCAAATTCCCCAGGAGACAGTGTGAGAAGGCTGTGTGACTCTGGGCAAAGGATGCTGCTACTCTTGTGTTTCAGTTCAGTAACCCCATGGAGACCATGGTCCCCATGTGCAGCGCACACACACACACACACACACACACACACATACACGCGCGCACACACACACATACGCGCGCGCACACACGCTGACATATCTGTAGGGTGCCATTCACCTATATAGGATTGTGGTGCTTTCCTTCCCTAGAATAATAGAGAAGTGATGTGAGTATTTAGGCAACCTGATAACTTTTATGAGTATAGTTTCCCAAAGCACTTTCTTATGCGTCATCTCTGAATCTCACAGTATTTCTGTCTGATAGTTGGGGTGATCACTTTTGTTTGCATGTTGTGCATTATTAAACTTAAGCTCGGATAAATGTGAGGATTTGACCAAATTTTAGCAGATAACAAATGTGCTGAGGACTTTTACTCCTAAAGAGTGCTTTCCGTACACTGTTTTTCCTTCCTTCCTCCGGATTTACTTTGCTGCTCTCCTGCTGTGTTTCGGTCACCTCCATGTTGGCGTATGTCATGTTAGAGGATTATAATGGTGGAAATCCAGACAGGGCCTCACAATTCCTCTCAATATACCTTCAAAAGGACTTGTTGATGCATGACCTTGGCTAGGTCTCAGTGCTATAGCATAGCAGTCAGCTTCTCCTTATCTTGAGAAGGAAGGTGTGGGCTCAAAAGTACTTAAAAGCCACACTGTTCATTCTGTTAGTACCAGTGAAGGGAGGCTAATGGAAGAGCACACATCGCCAAAGTGAATAGGAGCTTCCCTGTTAATTCCACCATTAAAACATGGCATGGCTGTGATTTGGGAAAGTATGTACAAAAGTTATGTTTCTTTAAAAGTTGGATTAAATAAAACGGTGCTGCTAAATTGAGTAATTTTGAATAGTCTTTCTAACTGTATTAATGTTGGATAATTGGGTACCACGGTGACAATAGTGAGGGCAATCTTAATTTTGCTTCTGACTCTCAAAGGTGTTTTCAGAGATACTCTGGCTTGCAGCAGTAGCCATCACATCTCATACCTTTCCCCACAGAGTTTATTGCTTTAGTATATGGAAATTGAGTAACAAATTACTTTTTGTAAAAAAAAGAATTTCTCTTACAGAGTGTTATTCCAAACGTATTGTATGAGATGAAGCTAATTCATAGACATTACAAAGGCAAAATATAATTGATTTTCATTTTTTCCCCTTAAAACCTAGGTTATATTCTACAATCTGTCTATTGGCAGTAGTCTGGTTGAAATTCTAAGCTTATGGTGGAAAGAGGTGCAAAGGAAATGCTCCTTGCTTCTGTTCCTAAAATTAACATTCACCACACACTTGGGTCATCCTCTCTCTCAACTGTCCTTTAACATTAGGGGCGGTTGGGGCTCTTGCAAGGTGGGTGCAGGACGGGGTGAGTGATGGGAGATTGACCATCATGGTGCCCCATCCTCCAGGAGTGGGGATACAGAGGGAGTGGGCTGGCCCCAGACTGAGGACAGGTACTGTGCTTTTTGTTCTCTGGCTGTCTCATATTTAATACTTACTCTCATGCCCGAGACAGCTAATTACACGTGAAAGACACAACTTTTACTAATTACTTTTTGCTAATACTTAACGTTCTAACAGTTATCTTATGTTTCCTAATATGGCTTAATTTGGCTTTACTGATAGTTTTTTGTTTCTTATGCTGTTTATGAAGAGGGGTTTTATCATTTATATTATCATAAACTTTCTACTATCACAGTGTCTATCAGAAAGTCAACTTTCTGAGTTTATCACAGCAGGAGCTTTGGATTTAGCCATTGGAGAAACTGATTTGAGAAGGTAGTCACTGTCTGAATTTTAAAGATGTATAGCTAGCTAAAAGATGGAAAAATAACTTGTTTAGGACCATTTAGAGATTAAAGGGCCAGTTTTAAAACAGAATTCGGAGTTCTGAGAGCCTAGTCTTTTGTCTCAGTATTAACTGATGTTTCCTACAGATACATCTTTGAAGGGATGAAAGCATCTTATATCAGATTATAAGAATATTTCATCTCATTTATAGGAATCTGTTTTGTCATCGTTAAGATGATAATTACTCAATTTAAATCTAAAGATTTTTAAAATCAGATTTCAGGTACATAATTTAATAATTATGGGTTATATTAATATTGTTTTAGGGAAGTCAGCGTGTGTGCATTAGTTTTAGAATTCCAATTCAAGCTGTAAATTTTCTAATTTAAAAATCTATATGTTCTTTAAGTGATAATCAGTAAAAGAAATATGAATGGAATATATACTTTGTTGTGCTAGAGAGAGGAAATAGGGGACAATCTTGTAACCAACAAGATGTGTGAAGAAATAGACCCTGCATCTTCCTTTTCCAGAGCTTTCTGCTCATGGAACCCGTGTACATCCTCGTACAGAGTGAAAGGTAAAGTCTGACTCATTTTGGAGCTGCTGTTCTTGCCTAATTATAGCGCCACTGTAACACACCTATAATTAAGAAAGACTTAGGCTATCAATTATACACCACTATTTTTAGACTTTCACATTTTGATAATTTCTTCTCTCAATAAAAGAGGACAGATCTTGAATTAGATGAGCAGAAGATGATTTTATAAGAACTATGTGCATTATTTTCCTACAGAAACTTAGATGTGGGGAATAGAAAATGGCTTTATAAATAAACCTGTCATTGGCCTGTCAATCCATGAAACAAAAGTATTAACTTGCAAATGCCTATCCTAAATCCTATCCTAAATCCCCACACTGCAATCTGTTTATCTTACTCAGTGTGTCTCTGAGTAAGTGGTCTCCTTTAATTATGCCGGCGTTGGAAGGAAGAGATTCTAAAATATGGTCGAAATAAAGGTATTCCCCTTCTCATTAAATGAAGTTAATTATGCCATTCTCAGAAGATTGATTTAGTCAGATAATAATCCATAATAATCCATATTGTTGTTATCCAGCATTGTAGACTTTTCTCAGAGTTTCCAGAGAGTATAAATGATAGATAAATACATAGTATTAATGCAGGTGTGCCTTACCTGACTGAAAAGACCGGTTTGAAATTTTCCTTTA